GCCCTTCTCCCGAGGGAAGAAAAGGTCCTTCCTTCAATGGGAACGACGGCCTTTATTCCTGCATAGCATTTCTTTAGATTGTGTAACTCATCATGTCCCAAGTTTTCAATGCTGTGAACAGTGTTTCATTGTTACTGCAAGTAGCACATATGTGGCTCAGTTTAACCTTTTGTGGGTAATCCACACCTGGGGTTATGGGACAGAAGGGGCTCACATGCAGGGGCTTCCAGTGGTCACTTCCCAGCATGAGACTTGCCTCAGCGGCTTGCTGGGGCTGCTGGGGTCCTGCTTGTGGTCATCCCAAAGGGCTGGGGCAAGGGCCCTCCACACAAACACACACACCCATGGGCTCTTGTGGCAGACATTAGTAGTAGCAAAAAGGGCCGGGAGACTTCTTAGAGACTTGGTGGGAGTGATGGGTGTGGTGCTGCACCTGTGATCCCAGTGACTCTTGAGGCTGAGGCAGGAGGATGGCAAGTTCCAGGCCAGCCTGGGCAACTTAGTGAGGCCCTGTCTCAAAAAATAAAAAGTGCTGGGGATGCAGCTCAGTGGTAGAGTTCCCAGGGGTTCAATCTGCAGTGCTCAAGGAAAGAAAAGCCAGCTCTGACTTAAAGTTGCACCTGCGGGGCTGCCCTGAGCCCTGCCCTCCACTGCCTGCCTCACTTCCTGCAAGAAAGCCAGAACCCTTCCTGGCACTTCCACCAGCTTTCTGTCCCTCAAGCTGAAACCATCGTAAAGGAAGCTGTGGTTCGAAGTTTGTCTCCCTTCTTTTTTAATGTTGCTCACATTCTTAAAATTTACCTGTCTAGTGGCATTAAAACACTTAGCACACTTTTCCCGGGGTGCATTGCTCCTCCTGGAGTGACTGTGGTGTCTGTGACGCTGTGTCCCGAAGGTGGGTTTCGGGAGTGTCCCGTGGGCCCAGGCTTGTGCACACTGCAAGGCACTGGCCGGCACCGAGCCTTCCCTGAGTCAAGGTCAGACTTGGCGGAACACGCTTCATGTTTCCTTTGGTGTGTGTTTCTTCTGATGCTTCTTGGTGTCTTCTCTTTGCGGATCCCACAGGGCCACCTCCACATCGCCCAGGTGCCTCAAGGGGAGCAGGTGCAGATCACGCAGGACAGTGAGGTGAGTTCATCGACTCTGGGCTAAAGGTGGAGCGGATAAGGGTCCAGCAGGGCTGGGAGGCTCAGAGGTGCTGATGGCTCTTGAGCTTCTCAGATGTTACGGACATTTTCCTCATGTCCTCACAACAGCCTTGTGGATTAGTTGGGAGGAACAGAGGTTTTCAGAAGCTTAGTTCCAGGTGAGAGCTGGTGTGAGGGTCCGCGTGGGCTCGCCTGCGAACGAAGCATGCGCATAGCTGGCTGAGCTCTGGCTGTGTGCAGGCTGCTGTGGGGACTCGGTGCTAGAGGCTGCACCTCCCAGAGCTGGCTGGCCCCAGACAGCTATGTCCATCACCATGAGGAGGGCTGAAGGCGCCCTGCCTGTAGGACAGCAGCAGGAGACTCCAGGAGAAGGGCTCAGGGATCACATCTGGAAGCTCTCAGTGGGCTCACTGGGAGGGAAGCATGCTCACAGGGGGGAGGGAGAAGGAGCCAGGAGCACAGGAGGAGAGAGAGAGGGAGGAGAGGGGGCAGGAGGAGAGGGAGGGAGGGAGCAGGTGCAGAGGAGAGAGGGAGGGGGGCAGGAGGAGAGAGAGGGAGGGGGCAGGTGCAGAGGAGAGAGGGAGGGGGCAGGAGGGAGGGAGAGGGAACAGATGTAGGGGAGAGACAAGGGGGGCAGGAAGAGGGGGGGGCAGGAGGAGAGGGAGGGGGAGCAAGTGCAGGGGAGAGAGGGGGGGGCAGGAGGAGAGGGAAGGGGAGCAGATGCAGGGGAGAGGGAGGAGGAGCAAGTACAGGGGAGAGGGAGGGGACAGGAGGAGAGGGAGGGGACAGGAGGAGAGGGAGGGGGAGCAGGTTCAGGGGAGAGGGAGGGGGCAGGAGGAGAGGGAGAGGGAGCAGATGTAGGGGAGAGACAAGGGGAGCAGGAAGAGAGGGAGAGGGCAGGAGGAGAGGGAGGGGGAGCAGGTGCAGGGGAGAGAGGGAGGGGGCAGGAGGAGAGGGAAGGGGAGCAGATGCAGGGGAGAGGGAGGGGGAGCAGGTGCAGGGGAGAGGGAGGGGACAGGAGGAGAGGGAGAGGGAGCAGCTGTAGGGGAGAGACAACGGGCTGGGGGGGCAGGAAGAGAGGGAGGGGGCAGGAGGAGAGGGAGAGGGAGCAGATGCAGGGGAGAGAGAGAGGGGGCAGGAGGAGAGGGAGAGGGAGCAGATGTAGGGGAGAGATGAAGGGGGCCAGGAAGAGAGAGGGAAGGGGCAGGAGGAGCGGGAGAGGGAAGGGTCCAGAGAGGAGGAAAGGAGCATGGGGTGAGGGTTCCGTGGCTGACTATCGTGCCTTAGCATCACCAGGGGGCTTTTTGGAGGACTGATGAAGGGGTGGAAGAGTGCTAGGCCTGGCTTGCAAGGGCGAGGTGCTGGGGGCAGTGAGGGCGAAGCTGGTGTCCCACAGGGAGCAGGCCTCTGAGGCTTCAGGCCTGCACTCACGTGGAGGGATGGGAGCAGAGCATGGGCAGGTTGGCCAGGTGAGTGCTGTGCTGCACTTGGGGGAATGGGTTGTCATTAAAGGCATAAACATGGAGGGGTGGACAGACAGCCATTAGCATGTCAGTCCTGACTCTCCAGTTTCCTAGATGGCCCAGGCATCCAATCAGAATTTTTACTTTGCTTGTAAGAAAGGCAGGTGCTTGTAGTCACTCAAAGGAGAGAAAATAGATACTGTAGTAAAAGGAAAAAATAAACACAAATTTTTTTTTTATTGTTTTATGCTAAAATAGCCTGTGCGCTCATTCTTGAATTTCAGTTTTTACTTTCAGTTTTGATTCTTTCTTCAGCTTTCAAATCAATCTGTGAATTATTTTTATTTCCATCCATTAAGAATCAAATACAATAAATTACAACAGTTTGCTTGTAGCATTAATGGTGACTTTGTGATAAGTTAGGATATGGAGACAGTCTTCTTATCACAAGAAATCCTTACCTTCATGTTGTTTGTTTAACATGAAGTAATTACTTTGTCTGCGTAGTGACATGGAGCAGAGTCTACCAGCCTAGCCCAGCTCATTTGGCGAGGAGTGGAAGTGTGGTCTGAGTGCCATGTGGTGCTCGGGCCTGCCATGCTGGTGTTGTATCAGTACCATTTGCACTGCTCAAGTGTTTCAAATAAAGGTTTAAAAAGAAAAAAAGATTCTTATTTGGGGTCAGGGTAGAGGGAATGGGTGCATGTTTTGTTTTACCAAGTACCTAGAGACTAAGCTTAAAAAATATATTTGTTTATTTATTTTCATTGCTACATGGGGTTGGATTTTATAGAATTAGTGATTCCTAGGGGTTTCCAGATGGCATGGGAGGTTGTGCCTGTCTGCATGGGTCATGGTGTTGTTTTTCTGTCCTTGAGTGTCTCCTTTTCCCTTTGCTTGCAGGGCAATCTACAGATCCACCACGTTGGCCAGGACGGGCAGGTAGGTTCTCTCCTGTCTTCACTTCACATCTGCCCACTGTCCCCTGGCTGGGGCTCCCCTGCCTTCTCTCCAGCATTGCCTGGGTGTGATGGCGCCTGCAGGAGGGAGCTGGGAGGGAAGGGCTGGCTTCCCTCTTGGTGGCCATGCAGGTGCCTGGAAAACAGGCAGGGCAGTGCTCTGGCACTACTGTCCTGGCTTTGTGGGATTGTGCCATAGTTTTGCCTCATAGGGGAGCTCCCCTGAATTTGTTATTATTTTTCTGGTTGTGTGTGAATGAGCTGCTGGTGGGGCTTGTGCAGATAGCTGTGGCTCAGGACAAGGTGGGCTTGCTCTTGCTGTCACACTCCAACCACTTACTTTCTCTAGTTGAAGAGGAAAAGAGCAGCCCTCCAGCGAACACTCCTGGTAGGAATTCTGTAGCTGCTGAAGAGCCTCTAATGGAGGCCCCAGGGAGGCCCTTGCTGGCCAGGAGAGGGTGAGATTGGGCACAGGGTTGTTTTCACAGCCTTTTGAAGACAGCTCCTGACAGAGACAGGATCCGGATGGCCCTTCTGTTCTGTGGCGCCCGAGCTGGGTAAGGGTGGAGAGGCTGCACACAGCTCGCTCCTATTCTGGGGGCACGAGCGCTCTCCTCCGAGAGGTCTGTTCGTATTTCTCCTCTGCGTGGCACTGTGCACTGGAGAGTCGAGAACTGGACACAGGGCAGACACAGCCCTCCAACTCTTTCTCGACCCCTTGGGGTGCACTGAGAGGAGGCTGCTTGCTCTAGATAATCTGTTTGGATCAAGGTTCCAGTGGCTGAGTGCTGTGGTGGTTTATTATATAAATCTAAACTTGCTGCTTTGAGTAAGAGCCAGAGCCAAAGGAACAGAACCAAAGAGAACACAGTTCTTCTGCGGTCCTTCTGCATCTTGGTGACAGGGCCACACAGGGCCTGGTGGAAGCTGGCTATTGTCTCTGTGGTCTTGCTTTTTGCTCATGGTCAGGGTGGCAGAGGCTCGGCCTCCTACTCATGGTTTTTCTCTTAGTTTTTGATGTTTTAGCGGCTCAGCTCATATCTATACACTGGTGGCATTATACCTTGTTGACACACACCTGGACTTTAGAGCACTTTAGCAGAAGGGTTTCTCTGTTCTTCTTTTCTGCTGTCTCTCAAGACATCTTACAGCATATTGCACTGATTTTGCAACCCTTGGTTTGAGAAATACTGAAATGGATGACCGTTAGTGTGTCTTTCTCAAGAACGGTTATAATTAAATAATTTTTAAAAGGTTTACAGCTATGAGGAATTTATACTGTACTTTTTAATATATTTCCCCTCATATTGTTAAAAGATAATTCTTTAATTTTATTAGAAACATTTTTAAAATTGTAACGAAGTTAAAGAAAAATGATTATAAACATACTAGTTAGTTCTTTCTTAGCACCTTCTCAGGACTTTAAGTTGAGATCCAAAACATAGGATTATCTGTGTCACTCAGCACTGAGTGACTTTCCCTGAGCATTCTTGAATCAGGTGTCACCCGTCTCTGGTCTTGGGTGGCCTCGTTGTCCTTGGGGTTGGTGGTGCAACCTCATTGTGTGACTCGTACCATATCCACAGAGCTCAGGGCAGTTTTGTTCTGAAACCCTTTTCTTGCAAGGGCTCCAGGGAGAAAAGGAGCCCTGATGCTGGAGGGTCCCAGGCGTAGCAAGTCTGTGTGGGAAGCCTGTGGAACGGCCCTGGGGATATCAGAGCACCCTCATCTAGCAGCTAGAGGGACTTTGTTCAAGGAGCCTCTTGGTATCTGTAGGCCCTAACATACCCCAATTGCTTACTTACTGGTGCTTCCTGGCCCAAAGATGCCATGGTGTTAGGGAGTAGGCAAAAGGTGACCAGAGACTGAAGGGTAGGGGAGCAGTGTCCTCCCCGTTTGGCATTGTGTCCCCTAGAATGCCCAGCTTGTGGAAAAGGGCTCTTGGAAGGAACTAGGTGGGTGTCTTTCATGACTCTGGGTTTATTAGGCTCAAGGGTAGTTTTGCTCCAGCCTGAGCTGGGATCATTGGAAGGCCCAGCTGGCTGCCCTGTCCAAGGCAAGGGGCTTCACTGCACAGTGGTGAGAGTTCCCGTTTGGAGTGGAGTGGCATGTCCCTGCGATCCTTGTGGAAGCCACGTTTTCCTTAGGGGAGGGAGCAGAATGTTCACTCCTGAATCTTAGACTGGTAAGGTGGAGATGGCATGTTTCAGGATCTACCTCCTGCCCAGCGTGGGCTCAGAGCCCCTTAGAGGAAGGCAGGCCTAGTGTAGGCAGCGTGGACTGCCTAGGATCTGTCGGCTTGAGCACGGCCTTAGTGCAGGAGCTGGTGGTTTGCAGGTGAGGCACTACTACAGTTTGGTTTCAGAATTATCCTCCTGCCTGGGCCGAGCAAGACTTTGGGGACTGCCCTGGATAGCGGTTCCTGTGGGTCCCTTGCCTTCTCGGGGGTGGGCTGCGGCAGGACAAGGGAAGGCTGAGGACTTTCCCCGACTATGCTGCGTGGCACAGATGCCAGGACCCTGATGCCCGCTCTCCTGGTCCTGTTTTCTCTGGTGGCAAGGAGCTCGAGTGCTGGCTGTGATTCAGGAGACGAGTGTGTTGTGTGCTTCGCTCTCACTGTTGTCCCTGGTGAATTCCTTGGTGTTGGGCCTCAGAAGTCACAACAGAGGAGTCTTTCAGGCAGGTAGAAGCCCGGTGAGAGCTGGATGCAGCCTCTGGCTGGGAAGGACTCTGTGGGTTTCTAAGAGAGGCCTGGGAGAAGCAGTCCCTCACGGAACCTGCCGAGGTCCAATTAGCTGGAGCAGCGGTGTCTGAAGGGCCTCGCGTAGCTCTGTGAGGAGGTCCCATGGGTCCCTGGGCTGCCACACTCCATGCTGCTGCAATGTCCTGGCCCACAGCAGACGTATCTCCAGACAGCCGAGGAGGCAGTGGGTCGTCTGGATCGACTTCATCGTTTTCAGTGTACCTTTGACAGGTAAATGAAAGACCTGGAGTATCAGAACCATTAGATCCATTTTTGTTCCTCAGAGTACCCAGTGCAGTGGACAATAGTACGTATCGATACTCTAGGACTCCTCGTTGAGTCCTTGGGTAGATAAGTTAGCATGCAGTCAAGTGAAGACATTTGAAAACTTCCATGTTTGACATTTTAAGATGTGGCAGATGGAGGCTGCTCCTCGCTCTGGAGATGGCCTGTACTCTCCCTTGAGTATGTCTCTGTTTCCCTGAATAAACTTCTGCCCAGGCCTCTTTCCCCCCCTTTATTAAACAGGTTTATTGCAGTATGATTTACTTGTCACAGTTCGACATTGATGTGTTAATGTGTGACCAGCTTTAAACAACCACAAGTGGAATGTGTTTGCTCCTTCTCAGTTTCCAGCGATGACCTGAAAGCTCACAGAGTAGCCCAGAGCTTCAGTGAGCTGAGCCATCATGACCGCTGGGCAGTTGTGTGCTTCTTTCTAGTAGCATCAAGTTTGGAACGTGGTTTGGTGACTCCTGGGCCTTTCCAAAGCTTTTCTGTTAGCATCTTTTCAACGTGCCTCTTTTCCTGGGCAGTGGGCCTCGTGCCTTCACTTGGCAGTGCGGATGGTTTCTTGGGGGTGGCTCAGCCCAGGCCCACTCCTACGGTGTGTAGGTGCTTGGTAAGCTCAGGTGGAGCTGCTGATGAAGGAGGAGAAGATCCTTTAGCCCAGGGACCCTTCTAGAAGGCTGTCGAGGAGCCGAGGCTGGCAGTGTTTTTCTCCAGGTGCCTCATCTCCTGGGTCAAGGAAATGACAGTGGAGAGCACCTGTGAGGACACTTGAGGCTGTCCTGCTCAGGCCCAGGTTTCCCTCGGCAATCTGGGAGCTCTGACTAGTCCAACTTGTGTCAAGGTGGAAGGTTCTTCTCCATGCGCTCGACTTGGGGTCGCACTGAGAGGAGGTTCCACACTGTACTGAGCACCTGCCTTTTGGGCCAGAGGAACAGATGCCAGGCCAGGAGGTCGGTCATCTGCACTGAGCCTCCCCGAGCTCCCTGGTCAGCAGTCAGGCCTGAGGAGTTCAGGATCCCATGGCCTCACGGCCAGACTGGATAATGAGGGGGCAGAGGGCATGGAAGGAGCTGCTCCCAAATGTGGCCTTTGAGAGCCATGGGCTCTGTGCCTGGCGGGGGCTGATGAGGACTGCTCTCACCCTAAGGGGTGAGTGAGGCAGGGCTGTGGAGCAAGCTGTGCTTCGAGTGTGGCCTCATCTCCTCTGTCCACCTGCTGGCTTTGAGGGTGCACTGCAGGTGGCTGTCTGGTTCCTCTGGGCAGTGGGGAGTCCTTGGCCTAGGTGTAGTGATGTGGCCCTGCGGGGGCTGCTTAGCTACAGTGGTGCTCCTACGTGTCGAGGTGGCTGGAGTCTCCCGTTCCCAGCTCTCTGACTCGGGGAGCTGTGGAGGGCAGCGAGGACCGTGCTGTGGCTTCTGTGGACTTCCACACCAGTCTGCCTTGAGGACAGGCCCGCTGGATGTTGCCACACCCCACCTGTCCTCCCCTGCCACTATGCTGGCACCTCAAAGCCCCCACTGGGCACAGCCAGTTGTGGAATCAGTGCTGCTGTCTCGTGTCACCCATCGACTGGTGGACAATACCAAAAGGAAAGAGTGGAATGGTGATGTGGGTGCGCTGCACGAAGCCAGAAAGTCCCGGAAACCTTTAGAGTCACAGTGGTCCTGGAACAGTGGCCAAGGCGAGGAAAACTGGGACCAGGGCAGAGAATCAGTAAATCCAGGAAGTTGAGGAGGTGTTGCCAGCAACAAATGGTAGCTGCTGGCCAGCCTTGGCCTTTAGCCATCTGCATAGACACCAGGCAGTGAGCGGCAGGAGGCGTGGCTCCTTAAAAATTGGTCTTAATAGGGGAAAAGAGAAAAAAAGAAAAAAGGGCGAGTCCTTTCAGAGTCTCCTTTTGGGGCGCCATGAGCACAATGTGGGGAAGTGGTCAGCACTCAGTAGGTGTT